GTGACTCCATCCAACTGCTTTTACACATTCTCTTCTTCACCGATTACGCTTTTTAAATTATACGAATGCTGCTTTTTTCAATAAAATAAACTTATATTTGGCGCGTATCTGAATCAACACACACGCCCAAAATGAAAGTTTTTGATCTAGTAAATCATAAATGTTCGATAATGTAAATCATGCGATTCGCTTTCCTCCCCTCGGACAAATATCCCAAACCCTAAAGTTCATCGCGAGCGCTATCGAAAGGTACAATGCGGACATCTCTACCGTGGGGCCTTCGTTGCCTGACAGCAGCGCTCTCTTGGCCCCAGTGCAAATACGCTATGATTTTACATCTTTTCTCTCATAGTAGGTGCTTAAAATCACGCTTAACGGCTGGGATGTTTTCTTTTTACTGATGCCCTCTTCTGTGTAAAGATTCCGTAAGTACACGTGATACGGAAAGTCAGGTTGTCTGAGAAGCCACTCTCCGCGATTGGATGATCCATTCATCACAAAACTCAGCGAGTTTCGCTGCAGAGAGTGGGCGAGAATAAGTTCCGGCGGTGTCTGCGAGCGCCTCCGAAGCGACTCGACGGAGAAACAGCGCACTTCTGCCCGGAGCGCAGGAAGCGAAACCTCTGCAACCAAGGGAGTTTTCTGTGTCAGCCGGCGGCCGATAAAACGTTTGCTCTGGAGTATCGACGGAGAAGGCACTCGAATTAAAGGAGATTGATGTGTTTGTCAGCGGACATCAGTTTGTGGGCTCGTTTCAATTTCCTGCGTCCGCCGCGCCAGACAGGCGTGCGAGTTGTTTTGTTTTCTTCTTTTGCCATCTTCGAGTGCGAGCTGGAGCTCGGAACTCGTAACTCGTGATTTATTTAGTTGTCCGTCCCCAAAACGCCAGCCTTAGAAGTTCGCTATCGCAATGGAAACATTTTGGTATCATTGGCGCGAAGATAGTGCCAAAAGCCTGACGGTGCCTTGGAACTTCTCCGGCTGTCTTGAAGCTGATGTCAAGGTACCTCTTATTCAAAATTCAGATATTTTTAATTCAAATGTGAAGTATTGAAGATAAAGGACTAGAAAATAATGCATTTCTTAAAGGTGGGATCGAATTTGTTTTGTTACAACGATTATACAGATGTGCAAAATAGTACACACACACACACACACACACACACACACACACACACACACACACACAACAAACACACAACAAACACATAAGCGTTCGAAGGAAATATTAAGTCTCACGATACAGGCCGTGAAATTATTAAACTGACGTTGTTCGAATAGTTATTGATAATACTTCAAATATCCTCGGAATTACTTCTAGAAGATATCTTCGCTAAACGCTTGGTTAAATTTAGGAATTTCTGCAACTCGATTGTCCTAGTAATATCAGTCTTACTCTCAAAATTGAAAGTTTGGTAGTTTAAAATTAATACTATCGTCCGGTAGTTTACAATGTTGTAAAATTAAATACTTAATGATTTGATTCTGGATTATAATGGATGTTTATCACATTAAAATCAACTTGTTTTTATCGACGAGGTTCAATAAAAGTTACTACGTAATAAGTTAAAAATTAGCAGTTGCGTGATGTTCTATAAATAATACCTCTTAAAGTTTTTAAATTTTCCGATTCTGAAGTTCCATTATCTGGCGATACGGACGGTGCGAGCGACGCGGGCCGCCAGGACGCCGTTGCGATGAAGCGGCACGCAGCCGGTGGCGTCGCCGACGCCGCGGCGCCTCTGCTCATCACGGTATCTCCACCAGCGCCTGCACCCCCCCCCCCCCGCACGTGTGCAGCGCCGAAGCGACGCAAGAGGTCCGGCCGGCGTCAGGCAGTTACTGTAGCCGCCTCCATCGCCATTGGCCCGGCTGAGTTGAGCGATAACACGGACGAGGGCTAGGAATGTTCCTCTCGAGAGGGATTAGGTCGACAACGCCGTGGAGGGAGGGGGGATGGTTAGTCGGAGGAAGAGCGTTCACCTTCAGCGATCCCTGGACTCGCGTGCCAGCCCAAAGTGTCCGCTGGTGATGCTGTTGGTGCCACCATCGCTACCGTCGCCGTCGCTGGCAGTGGGGTCGTCGCTGAAGGCAGATTTAGACCCTGTTTTTGTAGAGGTTGGCCGTTTTTGCTCCCTTCGAATGCAGATGTGTATGTCACTTAATTTATACAATATATTTTTGTCTTTTTGTGGAGGGGGTACACTCGTTTGTAAGCTATTGGGTGTACCTCTGTTTTTTGGGCATTTTGAAGTCTGCACAAGAGAACATTCTTTCGTATTGCATGGTTTTGTTTTGTGCCTACGTACTTCGTGCTGTCCGAATTCGACAAATATTATCTTCCGTGCCCCAGTGCAAAGTAACGCAGTTGGTGTACTATTAATATTCCTTTGTATCAGCAATATAAGTGCAACAATTCTGCTAATGTAAAAGAGACGAGCATTTTTCTTATTTTCGAAAATGCGCCTGGAAAGAGAACTATGTAGTGAGAATGAGTGTCCAAATGCCTACAAATATACTGCAAATAATGAGATCAGTAGTATTTAACAGATAATGGCATATTTAGTCACGTCTTCCGTAGATACGAACCTACAGAAAATTACCTATGCTATCGTAATAAGTAAATACCCATCCTTTGGCTGAGACGAGATGCATTAGGCTTCACCATACGGTGCCTTTGTGGCCAGCTTTGAGCGATGCTAGCTTTGACGCGTGTGTGCTGTGTTCACCAACATCAACAATTTTGTGTCCGTCGGAATAGTACATTGCTTTGTTTATGTGAGAAGGTTGTTTGCCATCGTGTCAACTCAAATCGTATGTTACGACGTATTTTTCTTCTCCTTTCTTGTCTCATACCCACGTCAGTGGTTTGGTTGCAAGGTTGTGCCCGTTCATAAAGCTTGGTTTATGGTCCCAGGTCGTTTAGTATCCTCCATTGTAGTCCAGTGTATAAACGTTGTCGACATAGGATAGTGTATTTCTTAAAGAACTGCTACTCTTCAATTATTATAATTTAGTTGGATGTTTCGTCATTGTTTTTTTTCAGCATAGTTATTTCTGGATATAGGAAACTTTAATTGGTATGTGACGTATCTAGGCGTCTTAACACTTTAGCTACAAAATAAGTGCATATTTGCCAGAATTGTTTTAATTTTCGATTAAATTTTAATATTTGAAATGCTTTGACAGCAATATTAATTTTTTCAGCGTCTTGGGAATAAGAGTTTATAAAGTGATATGAACTGTTGTACTGCAAATTTATTTATGCTCAACTCATGAATTCTAATTTCGGATTGGTACCTACTGAATATGTGCTCGTTCCCTTTTAATCCAGTTATCAGTGTAATGGTTTCGTGCTATGCAGAACATGGGGTACATTCTACGTGTAGTGTTTGAGATAAGCGAAAATTGACCCATAAAATAAAAGGAGGGAATCGTAAGAAGGAAATAAGATAACGTGAAGCAAGTTCGCGATAGGAAAACCATATTATTTTTAAATATTGAGATTAGGTTTATCTGCCAAATGCATATTGAAACTCGAAAAAGGTACTCGTCAAAACAGTAAAAAAATACGTCGCGGTTGGGAAAGGTCAGCTTTTTTCGTTAAGATGTTAACATATTTTGTCAGCCCAAGGCGTTCCAGAGCGCGGGGCTTCAGCATGATCGCCACGCTCCCCACTGCATTAGGTCAGAGAACGGCTACCGCAGGCGGCATTGAATGGGGTCGCTCGTAGAGGAGGCGGCGTGGTCGGGTGGTGACTACGTCCCTGGGAACGAAGTCGTTCGAAGTCGCTGCCCCCTGCGCGACGCGGCGGTGACGTCGATGCGAGAAAAAGCGTGCGTCGCCTCTCCGCAGTGTCTTCATCTTCTGTCGTAGGCACACGGCCGGGGTCGATCGGGAGTGCGTTTCTCTCTCTTCCTCTCATTCTCTCTCTTCCTCTCATTCTCTCTCTTCCTCTCATTCTCTCTCTTCCT